TGAGCTGGTCGTGAGTGTGCAATATTCACAAAAAGTGTGTAAAGAATCGTAATATGGATTTAGATGGATCATCCTTATCTATTTCCAGCGATAAGAGGTCGTCGACAAGAAATATGTTGAGAACGGTGATACCAATATCGATATAGTAGGTATGCTGATAGAATGCCGGCCATGCAAACCACTAGCGCACTTCCAGCGATTATGATTGGTGTATAATCGCATCTCTCATTGCGATATCCACATTTCGGCTCATCTGGAGGCACACGACCGTCGGGCGATGGCCAAAAGCCAGTCACCAGATTCGTTATTGACTGAAATCGGCTCATAATTTGGTTGATCTGGCTTGGTTTTTCATTACCTCGGCATGCAAAACTCGATTAGCTGGCTGAACCGTTATAGGAATTAGCGATGCATTGATGAGGGTATATTTCGGAGTGTATTATTATGAATTCATTGGGAAACAAGTTTGTTCTCTGGACCAGAATTTCATCACTTCAAAGTTATTGATCCATTCAACTGTGATAGTTTTGTTCCGGTATACTTTCAACTGTATGTTTGAATTGTTCTGAAATTCTCTCTTTTGACACCATTTGTTGAGAAACCGACAAAATTGTGTGATGAAATATAACCTACTAAATTATAGCATCCACTATGAGTTTTATAACCATCGCATTTTGGCAATAAAACTGGTTCCATTTCGACGAGTTTCGTTGGCTGATCACGTGTGGTTTGAACCAAAAATGCTTGAAAATTATTTTGCTTTATCTTCTTGAAAGTTTCACATTTATAGTTTAGTTTTCAAATTATTTGTTGATGAATTTTCCAGAAATCGTTTCATCGATACGTTTGCCGTTGGAATGTCTTTATGATTTGTCAGAATTGTAATGAATTGAACTGGAATTTTGACATTAGGCTAGCAGCTCGCTTAGGTAATGAATCAGGCTCAGTCATAATTAAAGTCAAGTTAACCGGCATAAAATGGTGCTCTTTCGGCAAGATCGTCCATCATCACCATTCCAGACGATACACCCGCTGCACTCACTAATCCTGAAATCTCATTTCTAATTCATGGCTTTCATCACTGGGAATTTAGATTGTTTGTTATTGTGGATGAATGTGTTCGCTAACAAACGAATGTTGCGGTGGAGTTTACTTGAGGACTGATCTGACGAAGAGGCTTCGATCATTTTCTAATGGTTTGCAGTATAAATGTAAGCTGCTTCATACATACAATAAGACTGCTTGCTTTGATCTACAAGAGATATCAAAGTCTTGTATGCAGAAGTCATTCAATCGACTAACTTGTACACCTACCTCATAAAGGAAAGAGAGAGAAAATGACGAAAAGGAAGCGTTCAGGTGAATTTAAGAAACCTTGGAATGTCATTCGTCTCATTTCGTTGAAGATATACTTTCCATTTGTGACGATTTCCAGTCTCCCAGTCTCATTCAATGCACGTCTCACAGCCATTGTGTACAACTTCAGCGCATCATACAAATGAATGTAGCCGTATAAATCGCTCTGAATTTTTCTTCGATTCACATACAGCAGACAAATATTAGAAAGGAATCGCTAGCAATGAAAATGCTATGCGATCTTAAGATTTTCGTTGTGAACACCAATTGTGATGCGAATGATTATTATTCACGTTAATATCGTCATCGAATTACAATGATTTTCGAATTATTTCCGAAATTTTAATATTCACTGCGGAGTGATAGTGTTAAAATTTGCGCGAGATCATTGTACTGATCATTTCCGAAAGGGAATTGCTTGAACAAATTGGTGTTTTTAATTATCAGTGTTATATGGACTTTAATATTAGACTTTAATACCGAAGACTTTAATCACTCACTAAATCTAAATCGTCCGCTGTCATTCCGCTGGCTTCAAGACGCTCCCGAAACGGTGTCACGAGTGTATTACCGAATGCACTCACGACATCTATCTGAAAAAAAAATCGGTTGTCGATACAAATTGATGATTTTCGATAGACGACATCTCAATTTCTACAGACAGGAACAATCCAATGGATGAGAAATTCGAGTTAAGAATAGACGTTGAATTCAGAGCACGGTCCAAATTCGTAGCATCTGAATGAAATTGCTTCAGGATTGAGCAATTTGCTGATCTGTTCTATTACTCAATCGATATCCGATCACACATGACATGAAACACGTTCTGGAGAGCGCATGGATCAACAAATGAACTGACAATGATAGCATTCGCAAATAGTTCCTTGATATTCTGTAGTATTTGTCCGTCGTCACCAATCCACGGTAAAGTGTCCTCCTTTTCGGTTTGTAGCCAAGGCAGTAGGTAAACATAGTCATCTGTATGCATATCGACATCTTTAACCGCTTTCAAAAACTCTGTGGTCATCTCACGAGTTGACGAGAATATGCAAATTATTACTGAAATACTGATTCCAATCAATTTCCATTAAACTATCCCATATTTGACACTTTGCCTTATCATATAACAAGTTTAAGGCTAGAATATGATGGAATCAGTTAATTTTATCTATTACTCAACTTTCGAATTAATCAATAT